CAACTACTTGGGAGGCTGAGGCAAGAGAATTGTTTAAGCCCAAGAGTTTGAGGTTGCTGTGAGCTGTGATGCCATAGCACTCTACCAAGGGCGACAGAGTGAGACCCTGTGTCAAAAAAAAAAATTATATAAACAGGCTCAGTGCCCATAGCACAGTGGTTACAGCATCTGGCAGGTTCAAACCTGGCCCAGGCCACCTAAACAACAATGACAACTGCAACAAAAAATAGCCATGTGTTGTGGTGGGAACTTGTAGTCCCAGCTACATGGGAGGCTGAGGCAAGAGAATCTCTTAAAGTCAAAGAGTTGGAGGTTGCTGTGAGCTGTGACCCATGGCACTCTACCGAGGGTGACATAGTGAGACTCTGTCTCAAAAAAAAAAAAAACATATTTATATATATATACACATACATATATAAACATATATACATATACTAATACCAGCGGCTATAAACCAGCATGCCAATAGTATTATTACTTGAGAGGTGAGGGTGATTTAGTCAGTGATGTATTTGAATATTCTTAGTCTCAAATCCTGCTTCCTCTGCCTCTTGCTCATTCTGTCTTCCCTGAGGGAAGCTCTAAGCAATAGCTCTGACAACTCAGCCTCCATATGAGCAACTATTGTCTAACCCTGGAGCTATCAATAAGTGATTAGATGTACCTAGGTCAAAGACCAATAAGAAGTTGGTCCTGGGGGTAGCACCTGCGGCTTAAAGGAGCAGAGTGCTGGCCCCATTAGCTGGAGGTGGCGGGCTCAAACCCAGCCCCAGCCAAAAACTGCAAAAAAAAAAAAAAGAAGTTAGCCCTGGCTCAGCACCTGTAGCACAGTGGTTATGGCACCTGCCACATACACTGAGGGTGGCAGGTTCAAACCTGGCCTGGGCTAGCTAAACAACGACAACTGCAACCAAAAAAAAAAAGTGGCAGGCTCCTGTAGTCCCAGCTACTTGGGAGGCTGAGGCAAGAGATGCTTGAGCCCAAGAGTTTGAGGTTGCTGTGAGCTGTGACATCATAGCACTCTACCAAGGGCGAGGTAGTGAGACTCTGTCTCCACATAAAAAAAAAAAAAAAAAGTTGATCCTGCCCTTGTAAGACAATCAGGCAATACAGAAGCCTGTGGGAAGAAGGGAAAGAAGAGTTTCTCAGCCCTTCTTATTAGCTAATAAGCCCCACTTGCCAATCATTGTGGCTAGGGGTTGTAAACTTAAATGACTACAGAAATAGGTGACATAAATAAGTAAAGCTAGTAAATACATCTACAAGAGGGACTCTACCTAACAAATTCAAATATTGTGACCGGGTTGTTTGTACCCTCATATTAACCTGAAATAAAAAAATACATAAGTAAAGCAAGTAGTGGGGACTGTGGTAAAATGGCAAGGATACAGTCTAAAGAGTCCAGTTACTTGATTCCAACCAATTGTCACTCCATGAGAAATGCAGGCCTTGTATACCCCTAGTTTTCTTTCTTTTTTTTTTTTTTTTGTTGTTGTTGGTGCAATTTGGTTTTCATTTTTTAAAGAGAAAACAAGACCGGGAGCAGTGGCTCACAGCTACCTAGCATTCTGGGAGGCTGAAGCAGGTGGACTGTTGGAGCTCATGAGTTTGAGACCAGCTTGAGCAAAAAAGCAAGACCCTATCTCTACTAAAAATAGAAAAAACTGAGGCAAGAGGATTGCTTGAGCCCAAGAGTTGGAGGTTGCTATGAGATAAGACTCCACAGCATTCTACACAGGGTAATAGCTTGAGACTCTATCTTAATAAAACAAAACAAAACAAAACAAAACCTCCAGTTTTTTTGGGTGACATTTCCCCATTTTCCAATACCATGTGAATGAAAGAAAACTTATGTGAAAGCATGATTCAGCTTAAAGCCTTTCACTGTGCAACCCTACATAAGATAGGAAATAGAGGTCTTAAAAACTCATCCGTGTCATACTAAAAGGGAGTGACGCATATAAAGGAAAATAAATGTCTCCCAGATCCAAGAACACAGCAACATGACTAACCCAAATGGTAATAATAACACTAAAGAGAGACCAGGCTCGGTGCCTGTGACTCAAGCAGCTAAGGCGCCAGCCACATACACCTAAGGTGACCGGTTTGAATCCAGCCCAGGCCGCCAAAACAACAATGATGGCTGCAACCAAAAAATAGCCGGGCGTTGTGGCAGGCGCCTGTGGTCCCAGCTACTTGGGAGGCTGAGGCAGGAGACTCGCTTGAGCCCAGGAGTTGGAGGTTGCTGTGAGCTGTGATGCCATGGCACTCTAGCTAGGGGGACAGCTTGAGGCTCTGTCTCAAAAAAATAAAAAAGAGAGACCATACAGGGCAGTGACTGTGGCTTAAGGAGTAGGGCACTGGCCCCATATGCGAGAGGTGGCAGGTTCAAACCCAGCCCTGGCCAAAAACTGCAAAAAAATCAAAAAACACGAAAGACCATACACAGAAGTGAATAGGTAAGGACAAAAGAAGGTTTAAGAAAGAAAAAATATGGTTTATTCAGCATTCTCCAAGGTTGAGATAGGGAGAAAGGCTTGATATATGGGACACAGCCTACTCACAAGAAAGTCATGGTTAGCAGTTAAGAATAATTCCAGTGGGCTCTCCCAGCGAATACGGCATACATCCCTCCAGAACTATCTACCTCTCTTGCCCTGACTTGCTTACTAATCAATTTAGTATTAAAAACTCAGCCTTGGACTTGGTGCCTGTAGCTCAAGCAACTAAGGCGCCAGCCACATACACCAGAGCTGGCGGGTTTGAATCCAGCCTGGGCCTGCAAAACAACAGTGACAACTGCAACCAAAAAATAGCAGGGCGTTGTGGTGGGTGCCTGTAGTCCCAGCTACTTGGGAGGCTGAGGCAAGAGAATCACTTAAGCCCAGGAGTTTGAGGTTGCTGTGAGCTGTGATGCCACGGCACTCTGCCCAGGACGACAGCTTGAGCTCTGTCTCAAAAAAAAAATCCAACAACAACAACAAAACCCCTCAGCCTTCCAGGTATGATGAAACCAGAAGTGAAAAGGAAAATAGGACATAAGCATTAGACTTACTGGAAAAAGACTTACCTCTATTCTGAAAAAGCAAATTGTAGCTAATTTCATATGTTTAGTTTCATATGACTAAATAGTGCAAGTCTGTCACAGTCTATCTATAGGTATGATAGAAAGTCTAGCTGCTAGCACTAAAAGGCTGAGGTCTGGACCAGTGGAAGTTAAAGACACAATCAAAGTGCTAATGTCTATTACCTAATGGTACAGTCAGTTGTAGCCAGCAACTCTAAAGGACTGTCCCATCACCATCAAATTTGTTTTTTTTTTTTTTTTTTTTTTTTTGAGACAGAGCCTCAAGCTTTCCCCCTGGGTAGAGTGCCATGGCATTACAGCTCACAGCAACCTCCAACTC